AAGAAAGATTAATATAGCAGAACCCTCGGGAATTATTCACATATTTATGGTTTCATACAACTCAGCAAAAATAATAAGGGACTCATAAGGAAATTATACCCCAGTATAAAAATATTTTTAAAGGTCCTGTGTTTCAGTGTCAGTAAACCATTCACGTGTCTTTACCTCAGAGTTATGCCTAATTGAGGAAAACTGATATGTAACTCTTTAGGTTATTTTTAGTCGCAAAACCAAAAGGCCAGGGAGCAAACGTGACAACATAATGTCCTGACGGAAGACACTTTTCTTAACATTGTAAATCAGATGCATGTACTAGAGCAACTTACTTTTTCAGTCCGACACCAAACAGATTTGGTGGAAAACTAAAGTATGGCTAAAACCGACATAATAATGGAAGACTGTACAAAACAATCTGTGTAGCATCTTGATATATATATATATATATATATATATATATATATATATATATATATATATATATATATATATATATATATATATATATATATATATATATATACAGTATATATATATATATATATATATATATATATACATATATATATATTTTTTTTTTTTTTGTAGATCCTTCTGGCCAGTACCCCCATTTGTCCTTGTTCTGAGTTATTAAGTACTCTGCACTGTTTTCGTTCTGTATAAAAATTTGAAAACAATGGTAACACTATCGATTTATCTTCACTAACCACAAATTCCAATCCTTGTGGCGTGCTGGTGGTGCAGTGGTTAATGCGTATGACCCATTTTATGGAGGCCTTAGTCCTCGACGCGGCCGACCAGGGTTTGCCTCTCCCCCTCTCTCATACCCCCATTACTGTCAGCCTATTGTCGAAAAAACAAGCCACTAGTGCCGCAAAAACAAAAAATAAATCAAAACAAATTGCCAATCCTTCAAATTCATTCTGAACGTCAGCTGTATCTCTGCTTCTGTCTCCTTGAACCCCAGTCGGCCTCGGCAGATGGCCGCTCACACTGAGCCTGGTTCTGCTAGAGGTTCCTTCCTGTTAAAAGGGAGTTTTTCCTCCCTACTGTCGCTACAAGCATGCTTAGTGTGAGGGATTGCCTTCGAGTCAATGACTCAATGCAATCAACTGGTTTTCCTTAGATAGAAAACTTTGAATCAATTTGACTGTATGATCTGGTTGAACTGTAAAGTGCCTTGAGATGACATGTGTTGTGAATTGGTTCTATAGAAATAAACTGAATTGAATTGTTGCCCACGTTTCACACAACCAACATTAGTAGTTTTAAAGGAAAAGCAATCTATCTTTAGTTTTACTTTGATGTTGACGAGAATACCATAATGTGCTTTACTGGTTGTTACAGAATAAATAACTTTGCTGAGCCCTACCTGATTGTCAATTTTAATGAATCAAAGTTTTTGGGGTTTTTTTAATCTATAAAGAACTATAAAAATAAAAATACACTGAGTGAGTTGACATCTTATGAGCCGCTGACATATTCTGATATAGGACTCATGAAATCTTCAACTGACCTCATTACAAAAATGAGGAAAACAGTCTTTTCCTATGTTTTCCAGTTAGAATCACACAGTGACCACTAGATGCCAGTCTTTTATCAGTTGGGTTACTGAACAGTTCCAGATCATACATTAACATTAGTTTTTAACATCGAAAAAGAAAAAAGCTGAACCCAAAAAACACAAAATCATATTTCTCATGTGTCCAGTGTCTTGGCAATAAAACGACTGATTGAATATTACTCAGAGAAAGGTTTCTAAAGTTTGGATGAATTATAAATATTTTTTTTATTTTCTCCCTGCCCTGCCTCCTGTTTTCCTGGTTTTCACAATGCTGTCTGTTAACTATATTTTCTAACAAACTGCTGTGGCCATAACAGAGCAGTTGGAATTATATTTAGATTAAAATACACAAAAAGTCTTTTGATAAGATGAAATTAGGAGACAGTAGAAAGGTGCCAGAATGCACTCCCTAAAGTTTTAGATTTTTATGTGCATAAAAAAAATAAATAAATAAACAAAACTGAATCTGAATTTTTTATTTCATATATATTCCATCTACATCAGCATTTCTTGTAATTTGACTAACAGGGGAAGTTAAAGACTGGGCATAACATATCTACATTTAGCTCTTTTAAAGGCAAAGTTTTTATAATTAAAGCAAATTCTGGTATATTTATCTCATTATCCCATTTGGAACCATAAAAATGGAAAAAATAAAACCCATTTCAGATCCTTTTGTTTCATGATCTACATATGTTCTTAATGCTATGCAATTAGAACAATCATGGCAGTATTGCCACTAATTATTAATGAGTGCATTGTTCAGGGTTCAAAGACTAACAAGGAAAAATCAAACATATGTACTGTAGGAACGGAGGGGCGATATTATTTTATTCTTGCATGTTGAATTTCAATGTTCAATAATTTTTTTAAATAGTAGTGTTGAATGGAGTAACCCTTTTTACAGAGGTCACCAAATGTTTCAGCCTACGTAAATAACAGCTGAACACAGTTGGTACATGTTGATTTTTGTTTTTTACTGTATAATGTATCCGAAATACATAGTGAAGTTGTCAGACTTATTTTAAAATAAATATATTTTTGTAACATTTAATTACAGATTTGTGCATTTTTAAATTTAACTGCATAAGAATAATAAATTAATGCCACACCTGCTTATTTCATGTTATGCTATATTTCATGATGCGTTTTAACTTCCATATATACCTGATGGTTCACTTGATAATTCTGAAAACCATCTCATGATCCCCTGCATGAGTCTCCCGCTTTGTGAAACCCTGCCTTTTTTTTTTATTTGGTACTTTTATTGTTTTAATTTCAGTAGTAAATATTTGTTTTTTTTACTTTATTCATGGCGACTGGTACATCAGGTCCAAGGGAAATCTGCCATTAGTGAGACTGATAAAGACACTTTGACCTTGAATATTGTCCCCTTGGTCCACCTCAGGAAGTACATAAACTCGAACAGCGATTGTCGAATATGTGATGCAAAAAAAATAAATAAAAATGAAAGGATGCAGCAACAGAAAATATATTTTTTTAAATACAGAAAAATGTATTTCTTTGTTTGTTGTTGCAATTTCTGCTGAGTTAAAAACGTGATTATTTATAAATACAATCCGTGTTCTTAATAGTATTCATAGATTTGCTATAACTTTTATAGAATATATTTGTCAATATCACAAGTGATTTAAAAGAAATCTAGACTAATCAAGTCAAGACAAATACACGATAAATATATTTTTAGTTATTAGTCTTTCACATTATTTTTTAATAATCTTAAATAACTAAATGTGCTTCAACATATACAAACCGTAGTGTTGAGAATTCCTTCTCTACTATCTTGATGCTGAATTAATTAGTAGAGACACTACTTGACTAAACATTTCTCCACTCCTTGAATCGGACCGTAAACGTTGGCTTTTGCTCTTTGTTTTCATTGCCAAGGTAATTAAAAGAAACTATTTTCCTCTTCAAACCCATTTGAGGTCATTGAACCATATACAGTAGTACATTCATATATCCTTACCTTGAACCACCCATAAGCCCCACCCTTTATTGTCCCTGTAATTTACGCATAAAGTTTTATGTATGGCAAATGTGTATTCAAATAAACTGTGTTTGTACTGTAAGTGGTAATTACACATCTTAGAAAAGTGATCTGTGAAGGGGCTGGGTGGTCATAGGGAGGTTCTGGAGGATCCTCAAATGGCCAGGCTAAACCGACCGGTGTTTGCAGTTCTTTTTTCTTTCTTTTTTTTCCTATCCCATAAAAAGCAGCCTTGCTTCATGGGTGGAGCAGCTTAGGGCAAGAGGGTGGAGATGTAAACAGCACTGGCAATTTGAAAAGAAGGACAAAAACACGAGTGGGACGATTTAGCAATGGTTCCCCCTAAAAAGGAGAAAGAGATGGACAGACTGGAAAAAGTTTGTTCAGAATGCAGCCAGAGTGCCTTTTATGGAAGTGGCCAAGGTAAGTGTAAGTCAGTAATACCCTGGACCAAATAGAAAGGTTGAAGGTTAGCAAACGTTTCCTAGATGACCCTATTACATCATTCTAGACTTGGTACAGAACATTAAAGGCAATGTTACAACTGATATGTATAACTAATCTGCTGTATCAATCCAAATTAAAGTAACATGATACTTACTGGCTAGGAAATTATAATATTACAATTTAGAAGAGTCTATGTTTAAAGCAAATAATATATATATATATATATATATATATATATATATATATATATATATGTATATATATATATATATATATATATATATATATATATATATATACACTTATTACAGTTTTTTTTCTCATTAAATTAAATTTAATTACTTCAACTAGCTAAAAATACAAATAAGTTAAGAAGTTTACCTACAGCACACACACACGTAGTGAGGACTATATGTTGACTCCCATTGATTTTCAGTAATTTTCAATCCTTTCTATGCCCTAACCCTAAAACTAACCCTAATCCTAACTATTAACAAGATAGCATGTGAGCACCGCCAAATATCCTCACTTTGCAACAACTGGTCCTCAATTTGATGGTGAAATTGGAAAAATGGTCCTCACTCTGATGGCTAGACAGGTATTACACACACACACACACACACACATATGAAAGATACCTCTATATTTAAAAAAAACCCTGAATTTTTCCCTCTTTTTTATAATAATCTATCAAGGAGATGAGTACTTTCAATCTTGACCATATTTATCTTTATAATTAACCTTTTACAGACTTTATATTTTAAATCTTAGATTAAAGCAAAATATATGTTTATTTATATTTATTTAGCACTACAATGTGGTTCAATATGTATTCTGTTTCAAGATTTTGTCCATTATTCATTTGAATATTAAAAATGCTTTATATATTACATAAAACCTTTTCAAAAGGACTTCTCTAAATAAGCCACACCCCTTCCTTTGAAATGATAGCAAGCCTACTGTCAGAACCGTCAGTGCTTGAATTGTTCCGTTTCTACTCCAAAGTCCAACAGTTTGTCTGATAGTTTTCATTATTTTCCAAGCTTTCCTAAATAGAAATGTATCTAAAAGGGATTGACTCTCATCTGAGGTAAGCCAAACTGAATCAATGTATTCTAACTGTAAAGGGATTTTATTTTTATTTTATAAAATATTGTTTTTTTTAAAGAGGCGCTTAATATATACATTATGTAGTCCTGTTTTTCATAAATTAAAAGCTTGTTTGATGAAGGTACAAAATGTGTATTAAAATAACTTTTTTGAATTCATATCAAACATTTTTTTGTATTCCTCACCTCATGTAATACTGACCCAGGGTTTTGCTCCGGCTCAAAATGTGTATTTTCCTGCTGGCTGTGACAACTGCTGGAATATTTCTGGCTCTGCTTAAATCTTCTGAATTGACTGAGTGGATTCAAAATAATTTGCAAAACACATGTCAGTGTGTGAAATGTTTTTCCAAAGAGGATGAGTTTCTGAATCGATATCTGAACCGTTCTATTGAACCATTTCTGTCAGCAAATGCTGACCTGTCTGAGGAGGAATTCAAATGGTGGTCGGTAAGAAATATTTTAATTATATAAAAACACCACACAATTTGTGCTGACTTTCATAAAGAGATAAAACTGGTCTAACAGCTTGTATTTCTTTTTTTTTTTTTTTGGCAGCACTTACAGAGCAACAGTCATAACTTCAGCTATTTCAAAGCAACAATTAAAACACTGTTTAAGATAATCCCACCAACTCCTGTGTTTGAAAAACCCCAAACTGAGGGTTGCAGAACTTGTGCTGTTGTGGGAAATTCTATAAATCTGAAAGGATCACATTATGGACCTCTGATAGATTTCCAGGATGTCATTATAAGGTATGAAATAAAAGGTAACTTCTTCTTTACACTTTAGCTGAACACACACACCAATAGTGTAAAGTTTTGTCCAGTTTGTTGGTGAAGATTCTCAGTCATCCAGGTCATAGTCATAAAAAAAAAAAAGAAAATTAAAAACAATCCACCGGATTTTGTTTCCAAGTTTGAAGAGGTTTTGCTTTCCATCCAGGAAGCTTTTTGAATTCAAAATATCAGGAAGAGTTTTGAGTTTGAGCTTTTATACAGTCCTGTTTGTCCTGTTTAGAATAAACTATGGTCGAGTAAAAGGCTACGAACAAGATGTCGGGGCAAGAACAACACATCGAGTCATGTATCCAGAGAGTGGCTCAACCTTAGATAACACTACGCACCTTGTATTATTTGCATTCAAGATACGAGATCTTGAATGGCTGATCAAGTCGCTGCAAACAGGAATTTCTGGAAAGTGAGTAATATTTTCCTGTTCATTCTAATCATGTGGATTTTTAATCCTGTTTTACGACTTCATGCACTCAAATAACAAGGATGTTGTCTTCAGCAGTAATTCCCTACTAAAACTAAGATAATGCTCAGACTGTTGAAACGATCTTTCTTATACTTTGCAAAAAATAGTAGTTTAAACTTGTAAAATAGTTCAGTGAATAGTAAATCCTTGCTGAATGCTTCAACAACTTTGACGTTTTATTAAATTTCTTCGGCTGATATTTATTGAGCCGCTTGGGTTCAATCATAAAACTTCAGTCCACTAAAAACATTACATAATCTAACATCTATTAAGGGATTAGATGTCTTAATCTATTAATTATTAGGACTTCCTGACTAATGGAGAATTTTTATGACTGTAAATCTTTCCATGACTACAAATCCAATGTGTATCCAGGTAATTAGTTGCTGTGTTGTTATTTTATTTGTTTACGTTTAGCTTAGTGTGATCTCTCAAATTTCATGTTGTCGTGTTCAGTTTTTGATGGACATCTTTATTGTTTTATAGGAGATATTGCTCTTATAAACCGGGCGTGTGCTGTGAGCTTGTTGATCATTTATTTGTATGGTGGATTGGTAACATTTTTGGTTTTAATTTGATTCCTTTATGTCGCAAATTGCCCGCTTGTTTAAGGCATGGAAATCCGTAGAAGTCTGTAATAGTTTGAGGATGGTGGCAGAGGCACTGAAAGAATATAAACGTGTATGATACGTCCTTTTAGGTATATGGAGTATCCCTCTCCTCCTTATCAATCCATAAAGTGCCTCCTAAGACATTTTGTTGCTGATGTGTTTTTTCTTTTGGAGTGTGAAGTAAGCTTCTGATTGGTTTTCTTTAAAAGTTCAGCTGCTGAGTTTCCTACCATATATAAAAGATGTGCTTTTTACACCTACAGTTCAAGAACAACTTCCTTTCTCAATGGGCTTCTAACCAATCAAGCCATTTAAAAAAAAAAAAACTGTACATTAATAGCCATTCAAAATGTCCCCACTTTCCTTCATGGGCCCTTGGCTGGACCCCTTCAATTCCTTTTTAAACATCAATATTTGTACTGAAATATTCTGTCATGATTTGAGGCCATTGAGATCTAAAGAGAAGCGTCATCTTCTGGTCAGACCCTGTATTTCAGTGAAAGGGTGGAGTCAGAGTAGAAAAATATGCACCTCCCAGGAGAAGGGGGGGGGGGGTCACTCCAGTGGCTGGGAGTTGGAGGGAAGAGGGCTGCCATTCGGCTGGCATTTCACTGAAATTGACTTTACTGTGTACCTTATTGGCTTATAGCGCTGTCTAAATGTGTCGACCATTTTTGTGTAAAACCATCTGTGTAGGGCTCCCCTAATGTTTAACTATTGTACTGCATTTGAATTTTGAATCAGTATTCATATTGGCCCAAAACTATTGTGACATCACCTAGAAAAACTGACATCATCAACATTGAGATCCTTCAATTGATTTCCAGTTAGAGATTTATTAGCTTAGTATTCTGTTAGTTTATTAATATATATATTAGTGCTGTCAATCGATTAAATTTTTTTAATCGCATCAATGCCTAAGTTAACTCGCGATTAATCGCATTTTAATCGCACATTTTTTTCCTGATTGAAAATCATTTAAATACTCTCGATGACATACAAAAAAATACATACAGGCTAGGTTTGTGCTAATGTTCTTTTTTTTAAATGAGAACAGGTCACAGATACTGATTTATGCCATAGAAACATATGGCAAGAAGATGGGGAGGCATGTAGCAAAACAAATATGTAGCCAAAAAAAAGGCCCTGAAAACAGGCTGATGTAAAAGACAGTCTTTACAGTTAATACACTCTTTTGAACAAAGACAAGCATTTTACCCTACTGCTATAAAATGCAGTAGAGTTAACATTAGATGTCAATTAACCAAGATAATAATGAACAATTTTCAATCAATACATCAAAATCAATAGACCGACATCACTAGATGGAGGTAGTCTATGCTCTAGAAAGTTACTTTTCAGCCTCTTAACAAAAATGAGAACACACACACAAGCACCCACCCACACACACACACGCGATACTGACCTGTGGCGTACACAGACGGCAAGAGTGCTGTAGCAGATTCCATTTCACCTCAGTAATCTGTTTTCTCAGCGTATTTCAGGTTGCTACTAGTTACCAGACACTCAAATTGTTTGTTGATGGTGGGGCTTAAAGAAAAGGCACTAGCGTCACCCAGTGTATGAGCGTCTTTTTCCCTTGAGGAGCTCCGCCTATGAGAAATGCATACACTGGGGGAAAATAGCCCCGCCTTCTCGCAGGCTGCAGCGGGATGTACTTGGAAAATTGTAGCATAAAACCACATAGCGTTAATCTCACGTTAAAAAAATTATCGCCGTTAAAATGGCCTCGCGTTAACGCGTTAATAACGCGATAATTTTGACAGCACTAATATATATATATTAGGGCTGAAACAATTAATCGGATTAATCTATTATTGAAACAATCCTCAACTAATTTGGTAATCGATTAATCGTTAACTGGAGTACGGAGACACTAAAACATGCCTTTAGCTGACACAACAACTCGCTTAGAGCAGTAATTATATAGAAATTGTAAAAAAAAAAAAAAATAAGTATTATGCATTTAAGATTTAGCATTTAACATTTCCATCTGTCATCGCTATCCAGAATTCCTCAAATGGAAAAGTTTTAGTTTCACCTGGTCTAATTAAGTATGAAGTCTTCTATAATGAACATTTTGCTATCTGATAATTCATTGATTATCGCTAATATATACATACATACACATATATATTAGCATCTTATTTTCTTTTAAATGTATAAATGTATTCATACTTCTTTTATAAGAAGTATGAATACATTTATGTCAAAAGGGCTCGAAACCTTGGACCCAATATTCAACAGACAGAGCTGGATGAGTTCCAACAGTTTTTATTAAAAACAGCGTGCGACAGGGCGTCAGCTGGACCAGATAAACCTGAGTTACTGTTTCTGTGGAAACAGAAACTAAGGTCAGTGACTAAGAATAAATGGCAAGTATCAGCTAAGAGCTATAGTCACAGACCTGGTTCAGAGTTCGATCCCAGAGGGATGAGAGGAATCTGTGAAGGTGATTATCATCTGATGCCAAGCGACTCCGAGGAGCAGCTGTGTCCAGAAGGGGAGATCCAAGCCGAAGTTGTAGCAGAACCAAGTTCTTTAACCAGATGATCAGAGAGCAGATGAGGTACCGATGAGGGAATCCAAGTGGTGGTCAGGAAAACAGTCCAGGTTCGGTAAGCCAATTGAATCCAAGAAACAGTCCAGAACTGATCAGACTAATAGAGCAGACAGGGGAAAAGAAAAACTTGGGATCCACAAGACAGAAACAGGTCACAAACAGAATAATCAGAATTATAGTAAAACGCTAGAGTTACTCTCACCAAACAGCTAGAATAATCTGGCACTGGTAGCTTGAAACCAAACAGTATGTATAGCAGCTGGAACCAGGTGGATGGGATAAGCAATGATGGCAGAGTTAAACAGGTGGGTGGAATAAGCAATCAAGCCAGCCACCAGTAACCATGACAATTTAAGAGTTGTAAATGGATGAATTTGTTTCATTAAACTTTATGTCCTTTAAAAAAAAAGAAGATCGACAAATGTCCTTAATCAGTGCACCAAAGTGCTGCAGTACAGATGGATAAATGAATAAACCAACAGGAAAAAAGAGTATATGGTGGCTTAAATCATAACCAGTCTAGGCTTCCAGAACGATGAAACATCACCGCTTTGCAACAGGCCAGCTATCGAACATGCACACAGCTTAATGTCTTAAAAGTAAAAAATAGTTGAACTATATTGATGCACTACTTCAATATATTTTATGTTTGCATACATTAAACTGTAATATACTGTATACTTGTATAAATTCAGCATATTGTAAAATATTTAGCCCTTAATGATATGGAAATACAGTATCCTCTTGATAGATGAGAAAACTTGCTTATCAATTAATCGTTAGTTGAGCAATAAGATCAATTAACTTCATGTAATTAATTAATAAACAACTCCCATTTCTTTTTTTTTTCTTCTCTTTTTTAACATTCCAATTTTATTTCCTGGAAAAAGATTCATTGAAGGATAGACGAGATATAAATCTTCTTTTTCCTCTGTTTTATAATGTTACAAGAATTGAGCACCCCCAAAGCGCAGTGAGGTGCTACATTGCAAGGTTTTAATACATTTCAGATCTTCCTTGTTTTTTGGTCATATTTTGCCAAGTTATCTAAGAAAGAGGGCAAGCAGATCTAACCAGGTTGATCTATATAGAAATATAACATAGATTCAATATTTTCATTGAGTCTTCTTAATTTCAATCCAGAGCTGTTTTTTTTGGAGAGATTCTAGATGTTGTTGGCTGAATGATAGAAAACATGTGCTCCAAAAACTGCCCCCGAAAGACCAATATGTAGAAAATATTGAAATAGGTACAGACTGTATACTTTGAATGTTTTTAATCCCATTACCCAATATGTTGTATTTTGGGGAAAGATAATTTTCTAAGATTTTTAAAGCATGGGATCATTTTGTTCCCTGTTCTGAGCACTCATCAATGTGTTGAGACTTGGCACTTCCTTCACCATCCCTGGACGGTCGTCTGCAGGCAGGGAGGTTTTCATGAATCGCTGAGGAAAGTATCAATAATGTTAAAAAATCCCTCTTGCCTCTAACAACATACAATAAAAATCACCAACTTCTTTTTTTTTTCCTACTTTGTACCCACATAGGAAAGTTGGTACAAGTTTAGATGCACCAACATATGTTGCACGTTAATGAACAAGGAGCCTGCAGCATTTAATTTTCTCCTCACAGCAGTCCTCCCTGTCTATGTATCAGTATGGAATTTTGTGATGTAGAATTTCATTTCCTATATCACCCAATTAACATACCTTCTGTTTTAAAACCTGAAACAGCAGTGTCCTAAGGTTCTGTGTTGAAATTGGTTAATATTAGTAGGCTACTTGCACTAAATGTGTCTGTTTTTATGTTATAAAGGCAAGTGAAACCTAGAGCTAACAAGAATCTGGTGAGTAAAGTATTTTGTGTCATGGCATTTTGTCTAACGTCTTGCAACAATTTACTAAGTTTGATGACGTCTTTTAAGGTGATGGTGCTAAATCCAGCTTTTATGAAGTACGTTCATCAGAGCTGGCTGGAATCAAAAGGAAAATATCCGTCAACTGGTTTTATGACCTTGATGGCCGCAATTCACTTTTGTGATGAGGTACGCTTTTTTTGTTGTTTTTTCACTTGGCTGAACAATAGGGTTTTTTGTTTTGCAAAGTATCAGGCTGATGTGGACACATTGCTCTGATCTACCTGCAGCCATGGTGCTGCGTTTTATTGGGTAGGAAAAACTTTGTGCATCACTCCATTTTGCTTGACAGACCAGCGATTTGGGAATCCATGATAACCTGGTCACCTCACCCCGACTTTGAAAGCTTACTTTCTGTCTGCTGGTGTTCAGGATGAGATGACGACAGTCTGAAGGAAGAAATTCATGTTTTCTAAACACTTTTCTTATTTGTATGTGCAAATAAGCAGGGAAAATGTGTTTAAACACACTTTCTGCAGGTGTTCCACCCATTAGAAGCCAGTGTATGAGCCTAATTTCAGTGTAACTTATAATAATTCAGTGTAACCAGCATTTGTGGTGAAGTTATATCAGCTGTGCTGCTGGCATCAACAATTTTGTTTATAGATGTTGGAGCTGTTTTTCAGTGAAGCCCTGTTTCTCTAAAATGTGAATGTGACATTTTTAATTGAAAAAAGCTTCCTCGATGGGGAGCAAAACGTCCTCAAGCTTGAAAACAACGTCCCATGTATTGTTTGTTTTTATTTTTTTGGAATGGCTATGGCCTGGACAATTGAAGATCGTCACCAGCAGATTGAATTGTTATATTAAATAAAACCAGCTGATTGCATTCATTTATTGACTTTCAACACATGCCATTCCTGGATTAGCCTCTGCCCACAACCCTCGCTTGCATTTTGTCATAGACTCTTCAGCAGTCCCTCCAAGCATTGCTACATGCTTATGTACAGTAGTGACAGTGGAAAGAAAAACTTCCATTTAACAGAAAGAAACCTCCAGCAGAACCAGGCTCAGTGTGAGCAACCATCTGCGGAGGCCGATGGGAGTTCAAGGAGACAGAAGGAGACATAGAAAAAGGAGCATAGATACAAAAGGTAACGGTTAACTAGCTCCACAGGTAGACGAGCTCCAAGCCACGTCTGCTAGTCACAGTAAAAGAAAAAGGCCAATCTTCAATATATATAAACAGAGATGGTAATGGCAGCAGCACAGCTGATATTTCAATCCAGGATGGAGTCACAGCCGAACAGAAGCAGACCAGATTAAGTTACTATCATGAGAAAAAGCAGAGAGGAACTTGTTAAGAGTGGAACTTGACAAATACTGCAGAGTGGGAGAACAGAGCTAGATGAAGAAAAAGTGGTCCCTATGTGATCCAGCAGCTGAAATATATAGCAGCACAAATACAGAAAATAGCAAATGTGGTCATTCTATAATTTTTGATGTCCCTATAGGTCCATGTGTTCGGTTTTGGAGCAGACAGCAGTGGAAGCTGGAGCCACTACTGGGAAAAAATGAAGGGTAAAAACTTTAAAACAGGACCTCATCCTGGAAAACAGGAGTACACAATCATACACAAACTGGCTGCTGAAAAAACAATCTACTTTTATAACGGTGTTTGATTATTTTCTAAGTATAAAATTTAGTTTGCAAAATTTAAAATTTCCTAAAAACATATTAAAAAAAAACATATAAATATGCATAATTATAACCAGCACATTTTGCCTGAACAGATTTTTGCAACAGAGTCATAAACTCTTTAACAAACTGAAACATACTCTTTTTGAAACTTGATTGTATTCTATTTAAAGAAGGTTTATTTGAAGAAGAGGTCTCTTATCCTGTGTATGAATGTATTTCACCAGCTGTCAGTCATTTGTATTTTGAATTTCTTTATTTTATAACTCTGCATTAAACAAAAACCAAAAACTTGTCATTAGGAATGTGTAAAAAAAACATTTAAAAAACTCTTACGTAATTTACCAGCTGAAACATCTTCAGATGTCTTTTCTACCATTAACTCTGAAATTAGTTAAAATAATAATCAGATAAATAAGAAAAATAAAAAATAATCAGACTATTTTAATATTTAACAGTGCAATAAGTGAACATATAAATGAACCTACCAGTGTTAGCCCCGAATGTTCTTTACTTGATTGGATTTTAGTTTCCTGTCCCGACAGAATCAAAACAACTGGGATATTACCTGACTGTTTAAGAGTTCCTCATCCTCTCTTTAAACCTGTCAAAGTTAGGAAAACTCAAAACCTCAACATAAAACATATTGTTAAAGATAGGGAGGCACCAATACCGACACTGCTATCAATACCAGGCTTGATACCAGTGTAAAGTACTCATACTTTTACTTGTAAAATCAACCCGATACTCTAAACCAGTACCAGGGCTTTAACGAGTTGTCGAGTCGATGTGTTGTTCTATAACAATATTGCATTAAATACGGATGTATGGAGGGAGAAAGTTACTTATAATAGTTCTTGCTGCAGAGATGGACCTGGTTATGTCAGTTAGGTCCAATCCAAGCTAACTCTAGCATGTGCTCTACTAAGCACGCAGAATAAGCTAATAAGAGTTTTGTCGAAAAATCAATTCTCTGGAGAATGCTCTATCCAGAACAAATTCTGTATTTAACCAAAATCACAGAACCAAGATCTGCTGTTAGAGGTATAGAGGAAGATCTTTTATTTCCGGGAGGATCATCTAAGTAAGACATCCTCCTAATTGTCAATCTTTCTGCTGATATGTTTACCTAAGGCCGTCCTACGTGCTCGTCCCGTGTATCTGTTGTGAGCTACGGTTTCAGACCATCATGAAGATCACCTTTCTCTCAGCGGTTCTTTGAAAATGGCAGAGGGTCTTAAGAAAAAAGTGAGTATGAAGTGTAGGAGAAAAGAAGAAAGCCTAAGAAGAGGCAGATATATCCCAGAATCCTTTGTGTGGAGAGCTCTCCTCAGAAAGCATTATGGGATTTACTGTCACAGCGGCCCGCTGTCGCCATAGGCTGTCGCTATCCGACAGTGGCGACTAATAACAAAGATGGCGCAGGCACCGCGTAGTGGAGGAGGAGTCACGTGACCAACAGGGTCCGTAAAGCTGTGATTATATGACCTAGGGGTTGATTAATTGAATTTGCTATGACGTCCACTATATGCAGTAGTCCCCAGTCTATATAGTGATTGAGAGATTTAGGAGTTAAGGCGGAGGTTCAGGCACAGTAAGCTTGTATTAGCTATGTGAACAGCAACTTTTAAACAGAGCGTGCACAAGGAAAAAGGGGCTCATAAATGCTTTCGCACGAGCATTTTTTTTTAAGTGGAGAGGTTGGGTCTTTTAAAAATACCCGAAAATCCTCCACAATACTTTTAAGAGGCCCTTCCCTGTTGGAAAACACGCCCCGTCACTGCAATCGGATCCAAGGTCAAAGACTAACTTTGTCAGTTCAGCATGATGGAAAGCACAATGGGATGTCGCTTTGTTTTTAAAACATATAAATATAAAAAATATAACCGCGGATGTCTGGGGGGCAGTGATTCACCTACATGTTATGAATGCTGGCGCATTATAACGAATAAATTATAAACAGATTAGTTTGTGCCTTCAAGTCGTTGCCCATAAAAAGACGTTACTTGGATTTAACCTAACCAAATATCATAAAAACGGCTCCAAATGACTCATGTGGGTGAGTAGAACATGATGCAATAATGTAAAATCAAGGGCCCAATGTAAAAAAAACGGCATTCCCCTTTAACTTCCCAGATGGAAAATGTTGAAGTATTTAAATATTTAGACATGACCCCCAGTAGGAACCTAATACTGATTCATATTGTGAAAAAATATATGAATACCCCAAAATGACTTAATTGTTTCACTTCATAAGAGAGTTTTCACACAGGTTGGTGCTGATAACTATTGGTTTTGTATTATTTATGGCACGACAACAGGAACTAATATGAACAGTCACTTAATTCTTAAAGTGAAAAAGAAATACATTTCCTCCGTATTTAAAACATTACTTAATACAGTTTAGTTCATACTTACTTTAACACAATTGTTTAATGTTAGCAAGTTAGGACATAAAACAATTGTTTTAAATTAACTAAATATGATTAGGGAGATGCCAAAAGCGGTTGCCTTATTTTTTTTTTATGTATCAGTTTGGATTCATTTTCTTCTCTCACTAAATTGTATCACATCTTTGCAAATTTGAGTTGTTTTTACTTATAATCAAACATGTTACTTACTTACTTTCAATAAGAACTCCTTGCAAGGATTTGCACATGTATATATATGTATGTATTGTCTTATTTTGTTTATTAATGTGAAGTGTGAAATGTCATGCATTTGCTGTGAACATCTCTGTACTTTTACGTTTTGGCAACTTGGCTCGGTTTCGGGAAGCGCTGAGTTTACATGGTTGTGAGAGTGTGGGGAACTGTTATTGTATTATAATTGTACTTGAGCCTGATGTGGGTGTTTTCATTGTTGAAATGTTTTGTATGATAATTTGAAATGAGGTGTTATGATCTGTATCACTGTTGTTTATATTTTATTAGGAAATTAGTAATGTTGATGACACGGTGCATCTGAAGGGAATATACAAAAGGCATACAAAAAGGAAAAACAAAAAGCATCTATAAGTGGTCCACTTTTTATTAGAATTTTTTTGCCAGGGATGTGCTATTATTTTTGTTCTGCAATAAAACTCCTAATTATACCCCTGGACGACCCTCTGAGTTTATCCCTAACCCTTCATTTTACCTGTTTTACGCTTTGCTTTGGATTAATGTCCCAATTTATAACCTACCTACCTACCTTCCGACCGACCGACCCCTACCCTACCCTACCTATATATATTTCTAATTAAATCTAACACTAGTGATAGACACATTGTGGCAATAATAATAATTTTCTTGATGCAAAAAAGAGTCCAACAGATTTTGCTTTCACAAGTGGAGCAGTACGCCTATCGCCATTGTTTTCTGCTTGATTTATGCATAAAAATATCTTTATTATAACTCATGCAGGGAGTATTGCAGATTATATGGACACTGCAATGGGAAAGTACAACAGGAAGGGAAAAACAGGAAAAAGGAGAAAAGATTAAGGAGATAAAAGGGAGACAATGATAAAACTTCTTCAGTCTGCTTCATCACCTGCAGAGAGAACAGCACAACCAACGGATAGAGTGTCAGAGATACAATAAACTATGATAACGATAAATGATAACATTTTTTACTGCCATTAATTGCTTCACTATGCCCATTGTTTAATAATAAATGTCAAAGTGTATGTATCACATTTAAAGTAAGATTTGATTAATAAGGTCCAATAACATAATGATTCTTTTATTTCATTATTTTTATTTCTTTTTACTCAAGTCTTTATCGAATGTTTTTAAATAATAAAACTCACATAAACTCAAATGTAACCTGAGGGTGCAATATTTGTTGTTGAATGTGTTAAAAACTTTTAATCTTTAACAGAATGAGTGTCTTTGTTAGTTTGAAAACGTGAAAAGTGACACTTGGCATTTATGTCAAGTGTCATAAATGGCTTAACATTTATGACGCAGCTCTCCCTAGCAGCTCTCTGGGTGGGGTTTGCTGACAAAGCACGTAGACTCCGGTTTCACACATTAAAATAGACTCAGTCTGCATTTCTAAAACCATATTCACTAAAAGGGCCATGCATTAAGGCAGAGGAAAAACAAACAGAAGAATTAGCATGCCGGAAAGGATCAGTGTGTGGCTCACCTGCTTTTGTCAGGAGCGAGGAGTGGGGGAGCGGCGTTTCAACGGGATGTCTGTTACAAGTGGGTAATTTGATAAGTGACATACACTATATTGCCAAAAGTATTTGCTCACCCATCCAAATTATTGGAATCAGGTGTTCCAATCACTTCCATGGCCACAGGTGTATAAATTCAAGCACCTAGGCATGCAGACTGTTTTTACAAACATTTGTGAAAGAATGGGTCGCTCTCAGGAGCTCAGTGAATTCCAGCGTGGAACTGTGATAGGATGCCACCTGTGCAACAAATCCAGTCGTGAAATTTCCTCGCTCCTAAATATTCCACAGTCAACTGTCAGCTGTATTATAAGAAAATGGAAGTGTTTGGGAACGACAGCAACTCAGCCACGAAGTGGTAGGCCACGTAAACTGACGGAGCGGGGTCAGCGGATGCTGAAGCGCATAGTGCGAAGAGGTCGCCAACTTTCTGCAGAGTCAATCACTACAGACCTCCAAACTTCATGTGGCCTTCAGATTAGCTCAAGAACAGTGCGCAGAGAGCTTCATGGAATGGGTTTCCATGGTCGAGCAGCTGCATCCAAGCCATACATCACCAAGTGCAATGCAAAGCGTCGGATGCGGTGGTGTAAAGCACGCCGCCACTGGACTCTAGAGCAGTGGAGACGCGTTCTCTGGAGTGACGAATCGCGCTTCTCCATCTGGCAATCTGATGGACGGGTCTGGGTTTGGCGGTTGCCAGGAGAACGGTACTTGTCTGACTGCATTGTGCCAAGTGTAAAGTTTGGTGAAGGGGGGATTATGGTGTGGGGTTGTTTTTCAGGAGCTGGGCTTGGCCCCTTAGTTCCAAGGAAAGGAACTCTGAATGCTTCAGCATACCAAGACATTTTGGACAATTCCATACTCCCAACTTTGTGGGAACAGTTTGGAGCTGGCCCCTTCCTCTTCCAACATGACTGTGCACCAGTGCACAAAGCAAGGTCCATAAAGACATGGATGACAGAGTCTGGTGTGGATGAACTTGACTGGCCTGCACAGAGTCCTGACCTCAACCCGATAGAACACCTTTGGGATGAATTAGAGCAGAGACTGAGAGCCAGGCCTTCTCGTCCAACATCAGTGTGCGACCTCACAAATGCGCTTCTGGAAGAATGGTCAAAAATTCCCATAAACACACTCCTAAACCTTGTGGACAGCCTTCCCAGAAGAGTTGAAGCTGTTCTAGCTGCAAAGGGTGGACCGACGTCATATTGAACCCTATGGATTAGGAACGGGATGTCACTTAAGCTCATATGTGAGTCAAGGCAGGTGAGCAAATACTTTTGGCAATATAGTGTAACTTAACCAAACATATTTAATGAAGTCATTTTAGAGTTGTAGTGTTTGCTTTTATAAATTCAAGCATCAAGTAGAGGTTTAAAAAGAAAGTATACGTCAGAGTCCAGAAGTTTTCTTTGTGTTCTCGCTATCTCTGCTGTGGAGCTGCTTTTAAAAAAAAATAAAGGCTGTAACTGGTGGAGACACTCCAGTTTGCCCACCCAGAGCAATACTGATAAACATCCCGCCCTTCATGTTCATTGCAGTTTATTTGTTAAGTTTTATAAACAAAACCAATTCAATTTATGACATGTTGAAACTGTCCCAGGAATGTGGTTTAATGTTTTGATAAATGGGTGGCCACCTCATCACAGTAGTTAGGAGAAAACAGGCAACGTGTGTGTGGGTGTGTGTGTGTGTGTACTTGTTTTTCTGACGGTGTGAGGACTTCAATCTTTTTTCACAGTTATGTCATGGGGACTGTTCTTATGCGGACCAAAATCCTGGTCCACATATGGTAATGTTCTGTTCTTTGACTTTGAATAAGGGTTATGGTTAGGTATATGTTGGTAATGGTTAAGGGTAAGGGTAAGAGTCTGGGTATGGCCATATGAAATGAATATAAGTCAATAAAAAGGCCCTTATAGGACATGGAAACACGTGTGTGTGTGTGTGTGTGTGTGTGTGTGTGTGTGTGTGTGTGTGTGTGTGTGTGTGTGTGTGTGTGTGTGTGTGTGTGTGTGTGTGTGTGAGTGTGTGTGTGTATGGCAAGTACCCAAAACTTTTTCAAGTAAGAATAGCACTACTTTGACATTTTTTTAACTAAAGTCAAAGTAAAAAATGCTACAATATTTACTAATTACTGTATTTTTATCTAATTTCCAAATAGCTCAAGTAACTGATTAGTAGTGTAACCAGAAAATCTATTCAAGTATCAGTAGGGATACAGGTAAAAGTGAAAGTATGATAAAGTAAAACTACATCAAAAGTCAGTTTATTTTCTAAAAGTAATTCAGGTTAAAATAACTGAGTAAATGTAACTATTTGTTGCTCATATCTGTCTATATGCACACTATATTTTTTTATTAGAATGGTTATTCAAAATATGGGTGAAGACTCTAACCACTAGATGGCAACCAAGTGTATCAAATGATCCAATCAATTTGAGAGCGTTCATGCACCAACAACGAGGAAACACACAAGTTTGGCGTCTATGTGAGCAGAAATAATTTAAGTTGATTATTCTTAACAGCAGTTTAAGGGCTGGAACTTGGTTTTCACAAACAGAAGATTTCATCCATTTATATTTCTCATTTTGAAAACTTGCTGAACCAATTCTGATTTTTTTTTTTTTAACTCATGGTGGAATGCGGCAACCTGGCAGGAATAAAGGTAATTAATTTTAATTACAGGCAGTAGATTGATGACCTGATGTTTTGACAGTATAGAATAGTAAGGGTTGTTTGGACGATTTGGAGATTCAAACTGTTGTCACATAACTTAGATTTGAAGTTTAGAGTCCCAAACATTTTTCCACAGAAAAGTGAGTGGAGTCTATTGATACAATAGTAAGTGGAGTTTATTGATACAATTATTTGGTCTTTGGCGCTCAGACCTTGGCAGGAAACATAGAGCTTAAATCTGATAGATATGCATAAACAGGAGCAAAGAATAGGCTGTTTTCCCCCAGGCCTGAAACTAGTGGTGGAGTGGAGATGTAGACTGGATGTGTAAACTGCTGGTTAGCGAGATGGTCTGCTGAGCATTATGGGGAGATCCAGTTGATTGTGTGAGGTGATACTAGAGCATCTTTCAAGGACCTGGAAGATGGACTTGGAAGTCCAGCTTGGATAACACAGGTTGAGAGAACCTGTCGATGATGAGCAAGCATGAAGCAACAGTGGAGAGGAAAAACTTCCCGTTGGGAAGAAACCTCTGGTAGAACCAGACTCAACATGGTGGCCTTCTACCGGACCGGTTGAGATGAGACAGGGAAAGCAGTAAGAGTCCTGGAGGAATGACACTCTGAAGATGGTTTAGCTATGATGGTGGAGGAGGGGCTGGAGGTGGGTTAAAACGTGAACTGAATGAAGTCACAGCATATCCACCGCCTGCGCACGGGAGCAGACAGTGCAGATTGGAGGCCTTTTACGATGAACTTTGGATGCCGATTGGCTTTTGTGGAGGAGTGGTTTAAAGTTGATTGGCTGTGTCGCAGGTGGATGTAGAAAAGCAATGAGTTTCTTCAGTTTAACTTCTGCCTAGGCTCCATTTTACAGTGGTAACAAAACCCTATTCAAACAAACTTAGCAGGAGCCTCTTGTAAACTATTGGTGGAATTTAGCATAATAGGCTTCTCAGATAACAGCTACTGAAATATTTAACAGTGTTTCTTTATGTCCTGCACTTGTATAATGCTAATGTGTTTTTTATTAATAAACTATAGTAACATTCATGTCTGCATGAATATAAGATCTTCAAACCTGATATCATGAGCAAAGCTGAGTTACTAACCAGGTGGAAATCTGATTGTGTCTTAAATGGCATTAAAAGAACCAGAAATATGATTTTTGAACTAATTTCTTTTAATTAGCTTGGAAATTAGCTATATATATATATATATATATATATATATATATATATATATATATATATATATATATATATATATATATATATATATATATATACACTATATTGCCAAAAGTATTTGCTCACCTGCCTTGACTCACATATGAGCTTAAGTGACATCCCGTTCCTAATCCATAGGGTTCAATATGACGTCGGTCCACCCTTTGCAGCTAGAACAGCTTCAACTCTTCTGGGAAGGCTGTCCACAAGGTTTAGGAGTGTGTTTA